TTCAATTCGTGAAATAATTATATTTTCGTAAAACTTATTGTAGCTGAAATAAATAATAAAAAAATACAAATATACAAATGCTTAGGGAAAAATTATTTTATTATTATACAGACTGCATGAAAGCCTATGTGTATAAATGAAAATATAAGATGTATGAATGAGGATAATATGTATACTAATGACTGAAGTTATTTAAACTAACTATACATTTATATTTATTGATTATTTATATTATTGAAGCTGTAGAAAATAGAATAGTAATGTTTAAATTCGTTTATTTTTCTTAGCCATTGTTACATTAACAACGTCCGTCAGTAATTACCTTAATTACTCGATATATTCAATATTGGATGCTTCCTTATTAAAGACATCTTTTGTACTATATTTTCAGTTTGTAAGCTATAGGAAAATTACAAAAAAATGTTACAAATTTAAAAGACTACAAATTAAGGTCAAGGATTGACTATAGTTTAATTTTCTGGTACAATCGTTAAAACACTATCATCTAGTCCTTCAACATTTGGTATAGCATTCCATTTTAATACTCGTCATAAACTCCAGGGAGATTGGATAATTAATTAGTGAAATGTTTTGACAGACTTATGCATGAGGTGAATGTTCTATCTTCTTCCTCCAATCTGGATCTTTAGGCAATCTGCAATTATTGTAAAGCAAGGGACAATAAATAACCACTAATTATTTTGCTGATAATCATAATCTGGTATATCATAAACAATAATAAACAATAAATATTCATTTCATCTGTTATAAGCTATGCAATATAGTAGCAAATATTAATAGTAAAAAGATATTTATTGATAAGAAGATTCAAGAGTCCAGTATTCTTCTTTACAATTTTTAATCATTTTGAATCGCTTATAATTACAGCTCACTTTATAACCAATTAGGTTAGGTTAGTCTCCAGTCGTGTAAAAGTAAATAGCGTCCGCCATGTTATTTTATATTTGATAGCTATGTGTGGAGGGGTATATTCCTAGTAAAAAGACGGATCACAAAATTGCATATGTTATATACCAATCACT